CCCCGCCCCGGGAGAGGAAGAGCCGCCCGTGCCGCCGCGGCTCTCCCAGGGATGCCAAGAAGGGACCGTTGGGAGAGCCGGGCTTTGGAGCGGTCCCCGGGCAGGCGGGGAGGGAGGAATTACCGGTGGCCCCGGTTTCCCTTCACCCGGTCACCAGGATATCCAGGTCTCGGTGCCCGGCGGTGAGGAGAGCAGCCCCTGGGTCGCATCCTGACCGTGTCTCCGGCTGGGAAAGGCGCCCGGCGTCGCTCCCTCACACCAGACGTGGCCGGTTTGCTCTTGGATTGTCCTGGGGAGATCCAGGGGAGGGGGGGGTGCTGAGGAATTCAGCCACAGGAGCTGGGACCCCTCAGGTGCCCTCAGCGCCCCGGGAGGGATGCAGCCCACTCACTCCGGCTCCACGGACATGTTTGGGGGTGCCTGGCTAAAAGGGGGGGCTCAGCGTGCTTCGGTCACCATGCACTCATGCAGGGGGGAATGTGGGGGTGCACAGCTCTGCGGCCCCCCAAGGCTGGGGGAATCATCTTCCCCGTGCTGGCCGTGGGGGACCCAGCACCCCCTGCCCGCAGGGTGATGGCAGAGGGGTGACACGGGGCGCATCACGTGCACGGAGGGGCCTGGGGGCCCGAGCCCCCCACCTTGACCGTACGAGTTTCCCAGCCGTGCCTGGAGCTCTCTGGCTCGGGCTGCCTTGGGTTTCACCTAGATTACACTTTCCAGGCGTAGTCAGCGGAGGCTACTGGTTGCAGTCACACTTGTCAGGCTGCCCAAAAATATTTTCCAGCCGTTATATGTCACTTATTCATGCAGGGTAAAAATCCACCCGCGGAGCCGGGGCCGGCGGGAGGCCTGCGGTTCGGGGCTGAGGACGGCACAGAGACCTTGGAAATCTCAGGCCGATCCCGGGATCTGCTTTATCTTTGTGTAATCACCCGTTCGGCGCGGCGGCGTGCTCCGGCGGGGGCCGGGTGTGCGATGGCGAGGCCAGGGGGCTCGCTCGCCTGCCCACCCTCCCCTCCCAGCTCCTGGGAAACACTCCGGCTGCTGATTCACGCCGGCGGGTCGCGGCGAGGGGGGAGAACGGCGTTTCCTGAGGCTTTATCCGCCCGCCGTGCCGGGGCTGGGAAACACATGGCCAGTGGGACGGGGTGGCCTTGGGGAGCTGCGGCCGGACCTGGGGAGAACAAAGCAACTGGGAGGGCTACAGGGAAAGGAAGGAGGATGGCTCACGGGTGGCTTTCCCCAAATTTTTCATCTTGGCTGTGCCGCAGGGGGGTGTTTTCTGGGCGAGAACGTGCCCTCCTGGTTGCCCGCGGTTTTGCCGGAGGTCTTCGTGGTGCGGAGAGAAAATGGGATCCCGCTGCCTCCCGCTTGGAACTGAGAGCCGCAGGAGGGCTCTTGGTCACCGCTGTCCCGTCTACCCGGGGTGACTTTGTGTGGCAACCCCCCCACTCCATACACGTGCAAAAGGCAATGAGAAAATACCCCCCCACACTTCTCTCGAGCCACAGGAGGATCTGAGCAGCCCGGCCAGGGAGCTGCGAGCAAGTTTTGGAAAGAGTTAATCGGTGCCTGGGGAGGGCTGGTGGGGACAGGATTGAGCAATAAAAACACGAAGGGGGGGGATATATTTGCAGCCAGAGCCCTGGGGCAGATGGACAGAGGTTTGGGAGCTGGTGCCCCTTGGCAGAGCCGGTGCCCAGCAGCTGGGACGGGCACGGTGCCGCTATCGGGGGCCAGTCGGTGAGAGCCCCCCATTACCCCGACGTGCTGAGCCGGGTGTCAGGGTGCATCCCCCTCCCCGACGGGCTCCGGTCCCCACTCTCACGCCGCTGTCGCTGGGCTCCCCTCCTCACAGGAGAATGCAACAACAACCCCCCCCTTCTCCCCTTGGCAGAGCAATTTGCAAATATTTTCCTTTCCAGCAACTCTCCCTTTCACAAGTGACCGATGCCGCTGGCCCGGGGTTGTGTTTTCCTCGGCGACCCGGCTTTGCAGAGGGGTGGCAGGGAGAGCCCCGCTCCCCGCACACTGCTCCGCTCCTTCCCGGGGGCTCTGACATGCCTTAGGTGTAGTGTCCTCCACACCAAGCCCCGGAGGAAGTTTTCTCCTCTGTTTGCTGTCACGGAAGAGGAGCAGAAGGAAAATCCTCCCCTGGAGTGACCAAACCATCCCTCCTGCTCCTGACCTGCCCCCCCTGACGTTCATTAGCTGGAAGCTGATTGCTGCTGTGGGATGTGTTTATTAGAGGCCAAGCTCCCCGGTGTTTATTTCCCGCTACGCTGCAGCATCGCCCGGCACGGAGCGGGCAAAGGGCTCGGAGCCCACAGCCCCACACCCGGGGCTGGCAAGGGAATTTGACCAGGGATACCCAGGGAAGCGGTGGCGGAGACACGATGCAAAGGATGTGCAGAGGAGATGGAAGAGGAATCGGGGAGAAGGATCATCCCTCCGCCTTGGACTCTGTTCTTTAGCATCTCTGCCTTCCCCTGGACGCTGATTTCTGCCTGCACCCTGCGGAGAGGAGGGCAGAGCTGCCGGCAGGAGGGTGCAGGGGCTGGTGCAGCCCCGGGTCTCACAAATCCCCGGCTGGGATAAGGATGCTCCGGCGAGGGAACAGCAGGGGTAGTGCCTGATAGCAGTGTGCCAGGACTGGCTTTTTTTTTGGGGGGGGGGAGTGTTGTACTTTGGTGCTGAGCGGCTCCGTCCCGCCGTGCCTCAGTTTCCCCACTGGTCGCAGAGGGGCCGTGCTCTGGCCTGGCTCCCAGCCTGGCCGCCGAGGTTTTGAATTCCGGCTTTGTGCCGCCTGCGCTCGTCGGAAGGTGCTTTGGGAAAGCAAATATTCCTCGCCCCAGCGTTTACAGCCTGGCTGCTCCGGCTGCCGGCCAGGGGCACCGGGAGAGGGGCTGCGCCGCCGCCATCCTGTCCCCGCTGTCCTCGGGGTCTCTGCGGGGCGCTGGGGTGGGGGGGACACACCTCATCAGGAGGCTCCCCCCACCCCAACAGCCCTGAGGGTGCTCCCCATCCCTCTGCCTTCGCACCCCGGGCGCTCCGACCTGGCCAAGACCCCCAAGGCCAGGGAGGGGGATTCCCCGCAG